GGGGCAGCCCAGGGGACGGCGGCCAGTGAGCCCCGGGCGGGGGGCGGTGGTGGAGGGGAGCAAGGGGACACCCACAGCCAACACGTCCGACATAAACAAACTAGTTCGAAGTAGGAGCACGCAGGGGGTTAAATGACATTTTTGTATCAGTTAACAGCACATCTTGTACTCAAAAATAGTAACTGTGATCACAGGCACATTAGGCTGAGAGGAACAAACGTTGGGTAAACTTAAGAGATTTGCATCTCGATAAAACCAGTTAAACAAGGGTTTAATTACAGGCTAACAAAGTAGCAGCACACACACACACAATGAGGTACCGATTACAAATATGCAAGAGATTTAAGTGATCGCATTAAGAGCATCCTGTGCTAAGAAAATTGAGTAACAATGGGCTTAACTTTGGATCAGCTTGAGAAAATGGCCCCCCACACACCCCGAAGCAACAGCACCCACAACACGTTTAGAAACCACACATGCCAAAGGTACACAGCCTGGATATGTAATCTCTCTTATTCAAAAGCAGTCAAATTACCTCCAAAATCTGGCCTCAAGCGAATGTCATAGCCCTTCAGTAGTCTATCCACGGTCTCTTTTACCAGTGACATATTACTAGGGTCATTGACACTAGAGGAAAATAAAAAAAAAAAAAGAAGGATACTATATTATTTCTTATTTCTCAGACCCAAGCTGTACGTTCCTCTCAGCAGCAGCATGCAGTGCGATTCAAAGTAAAGCAAAGAGATACCTTCATCACTTACCTCTGTGCACACACCACGGCTATTATTAAAGGGAATGACCAAATCCCAAAGTAACCCTTTTTCCGGACTCTCAGCATCCCTTTAGCTTTTGATATGATTTAGGGTTTCAGTGAAGAGAAGAAGAGATCCAACTTATTCTGGCCAGTGCAGTAATTCTAATGTGAAGCGCATGCGCACGGCGTACCACAACATCAAAAGGAGCAGTGGTTGCTGCTGGAGATGGAGCAAATTTCCTTGCCAAAAAAAAAAAAAAAATTAAAGGGGAAGAAGGAAATGCATTATTAAAAAAAAAAAAGTCATCCACAGGAGGATCGAGTATATTTTTGTTGTCCTTTTTGTTAGTATAGAATATAAATCACGAGGAGAGAAGTTTTAGGAGTTGCAGGGTACAGCGGCTTTGCAACCTAGTTTAAAGGGGGGGGG